AATAAAGAACCGATCCGACAAGTACTTGCCTTAATCTCTTCAGCAGCCTTGTTCAATTCTGCTTGACGTCGGGCAACAATGGTCACATTGGCGCCGCGCTTGATGAGCTCGATCGCAAGGGATTTGCCAAGTCCAGTGCTGCCACCAGTAATAAAAGCATGCTTCTTGGCTGGTGCGAAGGGAGGACGGGTCAGGCGACTATACACACGTTCGGCCGAAAAAGCAAGAACAATCGCAAGAATGGCCGTGGCCCAAGTAGGCATCGCCATAACGTATTTATAACACGAAAGAAAAGAGGGGTGCAGTTTTTATTCGTTCCTGAGACTTAAATTCGTACTGCATTTACGGGATTTATCAGAATTGGATCACGTCGAGAAGACGTGTTCAAGGGCTCTTTACCGCTGTATACTAATTTTCTTAGCTACACCACGTGAGAGTCTATAGGTTCAAGGAAAGGGAGAATGAAAAGGGTGTACGAGTATGTGAAAGAGAGGCGTAAACGATTTGTACGGGTATGTATTACAGGCATGTGATTTCTTTTTTCTCTCTCTTTTGCATCAAGAGGATTCATTTAAAACTGTGAAGGTTGTGAATTAAGGTTAGTGATAGACCTATTGTCTTATTGCTCCATGTGAAAAAACGAAGAAAGACGCGCTTACTCTGATCTGATAGGAACCAGCCTTCGTCATGTATCGAACCCATTTGACTGATTGGTAGCCACTCTTTTCAAACACCTTGAGAAACCGTACCAATAAGCCAGATGACGTGAACATGAGGACTTGAAAGTCCATTGAGATGGGAGGCCTTGACCATACGCGCTTGTGCGTCATAGCTGTCAGCTCTGCTTCACCGCTTAATGTGAATTCAGCCTGACCTTGGAATCGGGGGATCTTCCATATGATGCAGTTTTCCGAAGGCGCATATTTAGCTTTTCCACCCGAGCCGACCTTAACCTCAACCTTTGCGGAATTGAGTGGCGTAGGGATGCGAAGAATCACATTATTGGCGTACAATTTAGGCGAGAAGTTGGCCTTGACATTAATTTTGTATTCCACACGGGTTTTCCCAATTTCGTTCACAACGGGATGCACCTTGAAAGGCAAATTGACATTCTCCGTTGATCGATATCTTTTTATTTGTTACCAACATTAGCACTCGACTAGCATAACAGCGCCTTCGGATTTACCTCATCAATTCGAATTCGCCGTCTGGAGGGATAAAGCTGATTGTTCGGTCACTATCGAATTTACCAAGTTTGACACATTGATGAAATTGGCAATCGTCAATAGCTACGGTGTCTGCACGAGGGGTCCTATTTGGCGAGACAGGGCCAGAGTAGTTGCTTAATGTGCTGCTTATTAAAGGTGCCCGCCACAGAATTGTACATACTTTGTCCGGTTCATCATATCATTATCCAAGAGAAGTTTATCATTTAATCCAAACTTGCACTCGGGCGTTCCAGATAAATATGCACGCATCAGGATTTGACCTGCCACATCTGCTCGTAGAATTGTGCCTATCATTGCGCACTATATCATTAGCGCTTTATGCACCTTCCTTTTGGTTACGAATCCTCGGTTTATACCTGTATTGCTCATTAAAAGATTGACGCTCTCGATGACGTCGATAAAGGCTTCGTTCTTTCTGTACTTGACATCTGCCCGACGCCACGAAGTAGCGCCTGTTGCTTGAATTGTAATTCTGCTCGAGTCCTCAATGGCTCGCTCTGACTTGACACCCTCGGTGGTAATGTACATCTTGAGTGTGTCTGTCTCGCTGTTTTGCGGATAGCCAAAGTCCAGGATTTCTAAGGTGGCCAATATCAAATTGATACATACTCAACAATCGAAATCTCCTTTCCCATCCCTTTTAGCTTTACCATCCAATAATTCATATATCAGCACAAAGTTATTCTTCACGGCCTCTTCGTCGAATTTGCCAAAGTAACTACGTCCAATATTCACCATGCGGTAACAAACTTCAAAAACAAGTGCAGCGTTGGCATTCCACCGGCTAACAGCAACAATGTAGAGATTCTCATGGCGCACGTGGAAGAAGGATGTTGAACCAAGAGTGATAATGGGCGAGCGTACGTCTGTGTTAGAAATGACTTGAATGCGGAAAATGTCTGCCACCGATCGTCTAAAGGGATGCAATTATTTGGGTTAGTTCATTCATCCTGTCTTTATATATACATATATACGTATATGGGTGCATGCCAGCAACCGAGGAGGGCGAAGGCATGGACTTACTTCAGGTCCTGGCGGTACAGACGCGAGATGAGGACCTCACCCTTTTGATTATAAATGAAAAATGCGCTAATCATCCTCTATCCCTGATCGTCCTTTTCAATTTCCAAGTGTGCGATGCCCGGGGGGGTGTAAAGAAAAGGAATGGATATATTCTAGTTTGAGAGAGGGAAAGGAAAAATAAAAAAGCAAGTGTTGAACTTCCTTTTACAGTAAAAGGGGCACAAATTAATGGCCGTAGGGCACAGGCCCAATTAGTTTCGATCGAACCAGCAGATTCTGACCAATCCAATTAGACAGCACGAGCGGACGTGGGCTTTGCCCTTTGCGCGTCTGTTTCGGTTTATCCGGGCAAAGAAATATCCATCGCTCGGGATGTTACCAGTGGAAAATTATCGCAACCCTCGAGTTCTTATGTGCATCTTAGACCTTGCACCTCGAGAACTGTGATGATGAGAGCTTACCAACTGAGATTGCTGTTCAGCATAGGATAATATGCTTAAACCACTGTGTCATTCGAGGAGATTTTTGCAAAGTTGCTCTGATATGTAGTTTTCAAAAGCCCATACGGATGCAACCTCAATTTATGATGGTAAATCAGGTCCTACTAGTGCAATGATTCAAAAATACAATCCTATAGATGCGAGAATGTTGCACAGGTAGTTGCCAGAAGTATATTTCAGGTTGCGTATAATGAGATACATTTGGAACATAGAGTTTGTCAGATCGATTATGCGGTTGCTATGGTACGTATGGGCGACTTTTGTTGAGCTTTTAGAGCCTTTCATGAACCTTTCCCCGTAATTAGATCCATCGTTCTTCTGTATAAAAACAATTCATTCAATATGTAGATCCTGGATTAGCTGATGAAATCCTACGAGAGACTGGCCACCGTGATATTTCAGAAAGAATATCTTCTGTCCTATAATAATCATCTTTATGATGAGCCTCAACAATGGTGCCTATGCAGGTATGCATTGGTTGAAGAAGCTGGAGCATATTTTCTGTGTCAATGCCATTAACGTTTAGTACTTTTGTTTTGGAGAAACAATGTTGCTTACAATGCTTTTCTTTCTTCAGTCTATCTGGTGAGCCCTGCTGTAATTGTGCTCTTTAGATACAGATCCCTTAGGGCCGTTCTAGAAGAGGGGTGAAGAGAAACAACCTCATGAACTGGCAAGAGTATACAAGAATAGGCATTTTTAATCGCATACAACAAAAACAGTATGTCCCTAGAGTGATGAGCGAATTTTAGTCCAACGGCCAGTGTAGAACAAGGAGATAATCCACCGTCACGGCTGAAACCTTGACAACTATGTTCCCTTCACTATGATTCATTGTATCTACCCTCACGTAGGACCCTGCTCCTGATATATGCTCTCTAAAGAAGGGTGCTCTGTGGCATCCGATACCCTCACATAGTATTTAAACTGTTTAGACACTGTTCTTCTCAAAATCACACTTTCGTCAAGCCATATATCCAGCGCTCTTCGTAAGTATTTTGCTCACCAGTTTAAACTACTGCTGCATGGAGCTACTAACGCCAAACACTTTATAGATATATTGACGATATCAAATGGTCACTTTAGACCGGGAATGGGCGTTGTCACATAGTCCTTATGATCACACTGTATAATAAAACCTTTGTGACCTGGATGCTACTACTGCAGCTGTTTAATTGTCGATAATCAATACAACACATATAATGTCTTCAATTACCAGTGGGACGCTTCTCAAACAAGCTAAACTGGCTGCTTTATAATAGCTGAATGGACAAGTAACGCCGATATCCTGAAACCAGTATAATGAATTTGACACATCGACATTCAGGAAAATAATATTTTATAACTGCTTGAGTGACAGGGGTTCGCCAACTATCAAAGATACTCTCTTTATAGGCAATGAAATAGAGCAGATTAGCTTTGAAAGAACCAGTATAAGTCGTGGACACCGCTTCTCCGTTACTCCCTGTCTGTGATTATTATTATTCCGGGCTACCGTTTCCTCCGGCTTCATTAAGAGCAATTCATCGATTGGATAGATATCGGATGGAAGACGAACCACGCCTGGTCACAACATATCGAGTATTTTTTGGAAGACGGACCTCAGCCAGTAGAGAGACGAGTAGAGCAGAGATGATATTCGTTATAGTACGATATGAATACATTTATGTTACACCCAACGAACAAGCAGATAAGCATATTGCACTTTGTCGCGATGACTTTAGGAATTAAAAAATGTAGAGTAGCAATGAATGCGGTCGAAAAAATCACAGTAACAGGAATGATAAACGAAATCATGAAGGGGGTATTGGAGCTCCAGTTCGGATGCTTTCGAATAGTCCTTTTGTGTTATGCCAAGAGATCTTTATTGATTGATTAAAGGCCTTTTTTTTTTATCCACAGAAGAAATAGACGGCGTTCATTAAGGATAAATAACAACAGATGATAGCGACGAATGAGAATATAGCCACACAAATATATACATAAAACAAACGAGAATAAGATATTCTTTTATCGTATAATGATGGTCCTCTACCATGTTTATTGGCATCTAATAATAAATGGACATTGCAGAGAAAAAAAAAAGGTAACATTGGGAAACGACGGTGATTGGTCGCTGAGTTTGTGATTCGACATCGGCAAAAAGATTTGCCTGCAGACAGACTCGAACTGCCAACCTTCGGTTTACAAGACCGACGCACTAGCCAATTGGTGCAATACAGGCCTAACAATTAGGCAAAGGAACAGGTGCCTGCAGACAGACTCGAACTGCCAACCTTCGGTTTACAAGACCGACGCACTAGCCAATTGGTGCAATACAGGCTCTCTTGACTACAATATCAAAACCAATTATGGATGGGGCGCGCACTCTATCCCTCATAATTTGTGGCTCCTGCCAGTCCTACTGGTTGCGGCACTATGGTACCTTCGGCAGAACTTCCTGATCCTGCTGCTTCCCGTTTTCTTTTACAAAAATGGATAAATTCTCGGTGGACACGACAAGCCTCAATAAAAAATACAGCTAGTGGGTGCCCTATCACTTTCAAATTGCCACTGTTCTTAAATGTAACATCTCATGTAATTACAACTAGCATGCGCGCGTGTACAGATGCATTAGAAACGTACAGGATTTTTAATAAGTTCCCATCAAGATTTGGTTGTTGGTATAGATTATATAGGTTGTTCGTCACTTTTGCTTCAAAGTTGAACTCACATTGTGGTGATTTTGGTTTTTTGGTAAGGCGGACAGCACGATGAGACTCACATGTCCTTCATCGAATGAAACGGAATCCAGATCCTCCATTGCTACGCATTTATCTATTATTCATACGATTTATGGAAGAGATCCTAATTAGGCGCGGTTACTCTGAGGTAGTGGCATCATTGCAGATAAAATGCTCGTGTGTATAGGTGATCAATATCATAAAACTACATGTCCCTACTCCATTCAGACCATCCTCATGCCGGTAAAACCTCCTGAAAACCCAGTGGGAGAAAAATAAAGGGAAAAAGGCTGTGGACTAGATCTGGTTATAACGTGGTGTCATGGAACCTTCAAATCCGCGATCACCTATGCGACTACGGCATGAGGCAACTATGGGCGCTCAGCAACTCTGGCGCAAACTTTAGTGCGCTTTCTTGCCACGACAGACCAAACCCATCCGTTAATCAAACAAGCTGTTAAAGGGAAACCCGGCATCACCTACAGGGTCAATCGAGCTGATTGAAGTCAGGCATTATTTCTATATTCTCGAAATGACTGATAATACTGGCGTTTCAGTTGGCGTTCGATGTGATGCATAAGCCATGTAGGTCTCGTGCTTTCGCCGCATGATTCCCATCTTGGACCACCGTCAACCCAAAACATTTCACCAGCTGGCTCGGCGCGACAGAGCAAAACACCTTTCTTTCTTTCATTGCCCCCCCCCCCACCTATCTTGACGAGAATCAACCCATGGCGCGGGCAGTTCTTGAGACAATCATTCCGGAACCTGTCCTCGATAAATCCCCCATTCAGAAATGGCTTGCTGGCAGTGTCATTGAGCGCACTTTGGCCAATACGCTTCATGGAAGCAGTTTCCCTTCCTCCCTCACCTTGGCACTATAAAGAAAACCCTTAGGGTGTAAAGTCTGAAGAAAACAGTCTGTTTAGATCACCCTCCCCACCCCCGAGGGCATAATGGTTTGCTCTGCTGCCCCCCCTCAATCCTTCTCCCATCCCTCTGGTTAAATACACGTGCACCAAACTGTCTGGATCTTCCATTGATATAGCTCAAGTAGCGCACGCCCAGTTCTTGATTGCCAGAGACCACAAAACAAAAGTTTTACATACCGAAGGTGTCACTTTCGTGTACAGAAAGGCAACGTTTCGGCAATGCTTATATACCATGTCGGCTCGTTTTCCAACACATCATAAACATTGTTTGCGAGGGTGCATACTGTTCGTCATCTCTCAAAATTGACGCAAGTGTGTCTGCGGATCAAAGCAAGCCTTCCACCCCTCCCGGCTAAACGTCCCTTTCTCACAGCGTTTCAATTCATCTTCTATGGTATGTATGTACAGAAAGGTCTCTAGTTGGATAGATACACGCAAAAGGTTTACAATATTTGGACAGCTGGCTTCACACAGTCGGAAAACCGGCAAAGATATCACGCATTTTCTGAGCTCGTTAACTACAGTCCCTTTGGGCTTTGTGAATGAAAAGATGAGTGTGCTAGGTACCTAGCTAGCCTTAGACACACGAGGGCAATGCAGATGATGGAGAGCACATCAAATACATCAGCATCGTACCACCATTCGTCGAAAAAGCACACACGCGACAAAACAAATCGACGACGTTCATTGTTCGAGCGAAGATCATCTGAGCCTCTTACTTAGTTCATGGGTACAGTACATACAATAAAGATTATACAAGTTATTTGATCCAGAGTACAAGAGTTCAACATCCATCAGCAACCGAACGACGCGAGAGTTTGCTGAAAAATCCCACATATTCGGGAGCCAAACGAGCTGGTCACGCGGAAAAGTCTCCATCAAGGATGAAAAAGTCAGCCCTCTGCAGTCGATCGGGGCCAAGCTACCTCGGTGGCCCGCTGAGGCAACATCATATCTTTATGCGCTTGGAAATTCAAAGATTCTTGGGAACCCAGCTGAAATATTGTCGATCATCAGGCAAGCATGTTTATGCCCACAGTAAGCGCGTTCCCATGGTTGGATCGGATTGATGTTAATCTGCTTTGGTATTCGTACGAGATGCTAATATAGAGCGTAGAGGGATTTTGGATTTTCCGGGGGGGGAAGAGGAAAGTAATACAGAAGGCGATGCTGGGGAAGTAGAAAAGCGTATATACATGGATGTGTTATGAGGGCGAAAATCAAGGTTTCGTTAGTGGTTGGGACCAAAATCCCAAATGCGGACCTCTCCATCATCCGATGCAGAGATAAGCTTCGTGTCACTCAGAGCAACCGTGGTCACCGGTCCACTATGTCCTTCCAGTGCATGCATGCACTTGCCGCTCTCCATATCCCAGATGCGCACAGTGCGGTCATGCGATCCAGACACAACTCTCAGGCTATCAAACGCCAGAGCCCACACGCCCTCAACGTGCCCGAAAAGCGTACGCAGACACGAACCACTAAAGTTCCAAAACTTAATTGTGTTGTCCAGCGCCGCCGAAACGATGATCGGTGCGTCCGATAGAGAGTGCACTTTTGGATCGTGAGGATGGACGTTGCCGGGCAGCCGGCTGCTGCTGGTGCTATTTTCAGAGGCGCATGCAGGTTGAAAAGGGCTCAGGCGATCGATGCGGTGTTGGGACGATTCATTGCTGATCTCCTGCTGTTGTTGTTGTTGCTGTTCTCGTGCTGGATCTGGCCACAGGCGATGATTGAAGCCTTTGGGGCTAGGCAAGGCTACTTGAACCTGGCCAACGTGGCCCTGAAGCGTCTGAATGCATGCTTTAGACTGCAGGTCCCAAACCTTGATGGTTGAATCGTCGCTTGCAGAGACGAGAAGATTATTGTCGTGAGAACAGATACGGACGCAATTAACCCATTCATTATGGCCAGTCAGTGTGCAGCAGGCACCGGCACGAAAGTCCCAGACTCGGATGGTGTGATCCGTGGAACCGCTGGCCAGGAGACGCGAATCAAAGTGAAGACTTAGGACACCGCCGGTGTGACCCTCAAGCGTACGAATGCACCTGCCCGAGTGCCAATCCCATATCTTCAACGTGTTATCCATCGCACCAGTGACAAGCTTGCAATTGTCAAACTGAAGGGCCCGCACGCATTGTCGATGGCCCTCCATCCGCCGCAGCTCCTCACCCGTCTCGAGGCTCCAAACACGGATTGTCTTGTCGTAAGAGCCAGTCATCACCACATTGTTGGTGTCGCAAAACTGGACACACATGACGCCATCGGTATGACCTTGAAGGATGCGCACATTGTAATTGTTGCGTCGCCAATTGCGTTCCACCACTAGCCGCTCACTATACACTTCCTTCCAAGGCCGGCGCTGAGGTGGTGCTGCTGCTGATGGCTGTGTCACGATGTTATGGGCCGACGAAGAAGTCGTCGCCCCCGGGTATAAATCTTTTCCTTCAAATGCCTCAACGCTGGTACCCTGACCAGATGCTGCGTCCGTCTTAACACGCTTTTTTGGAGGTGTTCCTACTTCCTCATCTGGCACCGTGGCGGGCCCGCACGCTGTGCGAAGAGGCATGCCGTCCGTGACCGTGGTGAGCTTCGTGTTCGCCGAACGTCTCTTGGGCCGTTTGTCGAGTAGCGGAAGGCCCCATCCGCATTTTGTACATTTCTTGTCGATATGTTGCTCACACATGCGGTGCCACAGCGCATCGTCATCCGCAAGCGATCTCCATGCCTGAGATACCTGGGCCGCATGGCAGAGCGATTTTGCATCGAGGAAGGAAAAAATCCGAAGCGAGATCTCGCGGGGAAGGATGGAGCTAAAGTCAATCCGGAGTAATGGCTTGATTTCATCGTATAAGAAGGATAACTGGGGCATGCAACAAGCTGACAGTAAGCCCTTGAGGATAAGCGTCCGTTGATCTGCAGGCGCTGCTGAGAACAGCGACCATATGTGCGTAATAGCCTCTCTGTCGGAAGTTGGAAGGCTCTCCATTTGCTAGCAATATATGAAAATGCATCAGTCAGACCAACTGTGACTTTCGACTCTTCAACAAAACAATTTACTCTTTGGACATCCTCAAAATCGAACGAATCAGGCATGCGTTTCCGGGTTAGATCAGGGCGATGGCGGTAACATAATTTCCTCGAGTTTGTAATTTGGCCTGGGACATGTCGAGTCAAGAAACTATGACGAAAATCGACATTGTTGCCGTAGCTGTCATCCTTTTGGCTCATCCTTTGAAGAGAAGAAGAAAGACAACTGCAATTGTGGGAAAAAAGAAGACAGAAAGCCTGTCTTGAAACGGGGAATCCGTGATCAATTCCAACTCCGCATTGAGGGACCAGAGAAAGTTTTTGCTTATTGTACGTAAAACCGATTGATCCGGGCGAGGAAAAAAAATGATAAATAAAATTCCCATGAGATATTTCGCATGCAGGTCTGAAGCAGGTGTGAGGGATATCCAAGACGGAAGGATGATCTTCTGATTGGGGAATCAAAGAATCCTGATGAGGATAACTTGCAGCAGCCTGCTTGTGTGTTGTTCTCTCATGAACCCATAGAAACTGCATGAACACACATGGGGAAGCAGCGTTCACGTTGTACAATCTCTATTTTCGGACACGTGGTGCGGATAAACATTTTTACATATATATATATATATAATAAGAGC